CCACAACCCAGCCCACCCCCCTACATAAAAACAAATAAATAAAGGTATTGCGTCCAACTACAAATAAAAAATAAATATCTAAAAAAAAATAGTAGTGTAGGGGTACTAGGGGTTTAGCTAAATGATTGAGTATAAGTGAAGCATGTAGGAGGTCTTGGGTTTAATCTTAAATAATGAAAAAAAAAGCATAAACAGCTTTAAGGCAATTTTTTCATGGGAAAGGGTAAAAATGATATTATTCATCCAATTTTTATCATGACCACTTAGAAGATCTGAAAAATAGTATTACATGTAAATCTTCACACCTATAAGGAAAGGGAAACAAAATATATGCAGAAGAGTAAAAGCAAAGCTTTGACATAGAAAAATAATCCTCTGAATGATAGAAATCTCTATTCAAAAATATTTACCAAGTACCTACTATATGCCAGAGGCACCAAGTAAGATGTTAAATAAGATATGGTGAGCAAGTTAGATGCCATTCCTGATTTCCTAGGGCTTCTAAGTCTAGTGGGAAATACAAACAGGCAATTTTTACCCAAATATCAAAATTTGAAATTTCAATAGTAAATCAGGAGGAATAAAATTTCTATTAGAGAAAACCACCAAGGAAACATGCCAGCCTTCAAATTATTCCTAGGTGCTTTTCTCCTTAAAGCGTTGCACATGTGTGTAAGAAGAAAAGAGAAAATAGTAAATTTCTCCACTTTTTCCTCACTGGTGGGAGATTAGAGGTGGCTGTTGTTGCAAAATAGGCTTTTGCTCCTGGCTCCAAGAAAAAATAAAGGGAAGGAAACAGGTAATTAGATTTCTGAGTTCCTAAAAAGAGGTAAAGAATTTTGGTATGTGATTATTCAGGATTAATGAAAAGCATTTTCAAAGAAAGAAAACTTTCCTCTCTCTAGTTAAAATCTGTTTGTTACAAACTTTTCAGTTAGACTAAGGATAATCCTCAGGAACTTTCTTAATTTCTTCAGTAAGTACATGAAAGATATTTAAAGAAAGTCATCACTTGGGCTGGGGATGTGGCTCAAGCGGTAGCGCGCTCGCCTGGCATGCGTGCGACCCGGGTTCGATCCTCAGCACCACATACAAACAAAGATGTTGTGTCCGCCGAGAACTAAAAAGTAAATATTAAAAATTCTCTCTCTCTCTCCTCTCTCACTCTCTTTAAAAAAAAAGAAAGAAAGAAAGTCATCACTGCTACAATGGAAAATGACTGATATAACATCATAGAAGTGAAAGAAGAAAATGTGGGCAGAAAATCACATTAGAGTTTCTTCAAAAGACAACAAAATCAGTAAAACAGGATAATGACAAAGCATGGTACAAAGTGGGTGGGAGATATAATACACAGAAGCAAATAACAAAATGGCAAATGTTACTTTCTAGAAATTTCATTTTTTAAAACAATACTTAAAATGGATTGAGGTAGCATGAGTAGTGGCACACATCTTTTCTAGGACATGAGTTTGATCTCCAGGAGTG